CAGTTCTTCAAATCAAACACCAATAAAAAAAAACTGAGAGAGAAAACAGAATGATGGGGAAACCGAAATGGAGAATGAAAACTGAGAAAAAGGGATGTTTGGGTTAACATGGGTTGAGAGACTGAGGGGTTTCTACTCTTATCTATCTGATGACTGACTGAATACAGCTCAAACGTCACATGACGGTCATACACACACACACACCCTCTCACAAAGCATGTGATCCAAACACAGTCATAGGACACGCTCACTGGCCAAAAATGCAAACTTCAGCAAACAAACTAACATGTACTCTTTGCTAACACTATGCATGCATGTTGCAACAAATATACAATCAGTCATACGCTTCACTCTCACACAAAGAGAGAGTGATCATTTTAAGAACTTAAAGCATCTATGCAATTGTTAATAGCAGCAGCCTATTAAAGAGTTTAATTATTTACATGAAGTGGGTCGTCTTGTGGGGGCAGCTGTATTGATAAACGTATACTGCTTGTTTAATCAAATAATATTGAGTTACTGACAACAGAATATATTATGCTGGCCACCTTTACTGAAAGTTTATTTCCTTTAAAAAAATCTTTGCTAAAGCTTCATCAACCATGAAACAAAACCAACCAGCTACAAAAAACAGAGTGCAATTAAAATCCATGGTCTTTTGTTAATTTATATACAAGTAAAACCAGTTTTGTTGCACAGTACTTGACAGAGTTTTCAATAGTCATGTCATGTTAGATTTTCTAATCCCTGCTTTGACTCAGTCACAGGCAGACATAGATGAAGAGCAAGAGAGGCTGTGTGTTTGTGTGTGTGTAAATGACACGGGAATATCTAATAGCTCATAGTAACGCGTGTTACTGTGCATTCACACCGAATGTGGTGAGAGCATTCAAGGTCGCTACATTGATCTTGTATTTAAGGCTGTACTCACTCCATGTACAGTTGCCTCGAACCTGGCCAAAGCACTCTTGTCCCCCCTCCCGTCTCCTCTGACGGCCCGCACTCACACTGCAATCAGGCCTGGGCACGCTTACGTCATCGATGCTTTGCTGTTCTGTAAGCACTCTCGCTAAGCACAGTGGAGATTTCTCTAGTCATATTGTTTCAGTCGTTTGTTATGCAGTGACACACAGTCAAATTTTCGCCAAACAGTCCTTAGGGATGCGGTGACACGCAGACAGATATTTCGCCGAACAGATCTGCCACTTTTGGCACTTAAAAACAATCATAAAGCCCTCGTGCTGCAGGAATGAGGAGGTCTGCTGAAGGTGCACAGCTGTCGTGCAGTGAGGGGTTTGCGTCTTTAATAATCTAGGGCAGTTTGCGTTCATTGAACAGTAAGAATGATTAATAAAATCCATATGAAACAGTCCCTTAAAGCTACGTCTCGCTTTCAGTTTCGGGCTTTGGCCCACCTCTTCCAACCGGGCCAGGGCCGGCCAAGTGAACCGTGCCTGAGCCCGATTCAGCGCACACACACTTCTTAAACGATCCGGAAAACGGGCCTGGGCACGATTCGGATAGCATAGTGTGAGTAAGCCCTAAAGGGGCTGTTGCAATATGTCATATCAGTTACATTTCTGCATAAAACTTGCTTTCTAGCATGAAAATGTTGCGCACTTCTTATCAAATTCATTTAACAATGGAAGATCAAGTTGTGTGTGGTGTGGCTTTGCTCAAATTAATTATCCAATATGTCTAAAATATCCTTAAGCATCAATACTATTTTGTACTGTCGCATGGGATTCCTGCTTTTTTAAAGATAAATATATATATATATATATAACATTAATGCACATCAGTAACTTATTTAAAGTATGTTCCTGCCAGAAAACATTGTAAATAATTAAAAATCTGGTAAACCGCAATCATCAGACCCTTAGGAACAACTGTGGTCGGAACAGTTCTGTGTTCGCTGAATTTCTCTTAAGCGGTGGACTACTTCATTCTGATTGCTTGCTGGGGAACTGCGTCATAGCTTGATACCATAAAGTTGACTTTACTTCAACTCTCCTCGACGCCCACACCGGCGAAGACGTGCCGCACTGCTCCTCGCCACAGGCTCTCATTAAAAATGAACAACTTCCGGCTACTTTGACTCTTTCAGTGCTTTCGGTGTGAACGTACGGTAAGCTACCTTTTCGCAAATATTTTTGAGCATATTTTGGAGTTGGTTAATTCCCATCGACTGGTGAAGAACAGGTCAGTGTCCTCAAGATTACACAGAGGAATGAAGGCTCTGTCACAGAGGTAATATGGTAACTAATGTTTGAAAAGCACATTTATTCAGGTACAGTAGGTACCGCTGCAGCCCGGAGACCTCCAAGCTGGAGGGATTACACCGCAAGTAGGTTGGGTGATCTCCAAGTGGAAGGGACTTAAACCACAAGTAAGTTGGGTTTAGGTGGTGTAGGTGGAGCAGATATTATTAAAATACATCAGGTTACTGTGAGGTTGGGGAAATTCATAAAGCACAATATTGGACTCCGCGTCATGTACAAGACATTAAATAAATAAAAACTCCAGGTTTGTACAGCCCACATGGAGCTGGCTCTGACCTCCGTTATACCCTTCTCCATTTATTTCTATTATGATTTTATGACACATCTTCCAGCCAATCAGAATAGAGAATTTCAACAAACCATGTAATAAACACAGATAGCATACCAGCTCATTTTTGTCAGTCACATCATATAAAGAAATCTTTTGCTGCTCTTTGCTCTCTGCGACTCTCTGATTGGTTGAATTGTCTACACTGCATGGGTAATGCAGTTTAATGCACAAATTCTGCTATTATACATGCCTTGCTTTAAAATATGTTAATAAAAATTAATGTGAACAGATGAGATCGACAAAAGCATGTACAACAGATTAATAACGTTAAACTCAAAACAGACCTGAGAAGTGGTTTCCAAAGTGGGAGTCGGTGCTTGGGGATTTCCAAAAATCATTTTCATTTTATTAAACCATTCAAATTACTATATTTTATCCATAGCCTAAAGAATATAAAAATTGTTACAATAACAACATGCAAATAAAACGCAACAAGCTGACCACCTGAGTGATTATTTTATATTAAAGTCACATGCAGCAGATTGACTTTATGGCACCAGGTTAAACTTTCTGACACCTTTTGCTTTAAGAAATCATTAGTTATACTTATATAATTATCAGTTATTGTAGGTATTGTTAATAATCCCTTTCTTTGGCAACTAACTCAAATAACTTTTGTTGTTAAAGTACTACAATTTACATTATTTAAAGCAAACATTTAAAACTTAAACTAGTTTTACAAATTCCAAAAATAAATCATATAATCTAATGTAATTCTAACACAGAACTGAAAAACATGAGTTTAAAATATATGTCATAATATTGGCCGGCAGCCCTGCACTGCGTTTACTTAAAATGTGCTACATGTTGCAGTGCAGCATAAAAAAGAATTTACTTTTAAAAATTTACATTAAAAATTTACTTTGTTGCCGCTTTACGTAAACAAATCTTTGTTTTGTGAGAGCTGTATTTATTCCTGTGTCAAATTATTATACAAGTAAAAGTGAACATTTATATTCTTATGTTGAAACTCTTTGGTTTGGACCTAAATTAATTGTGCAAACAGGCCAGATTTGAGCAATGGAGTTCATTGTGAGGTGATTGCATTAGATGGAAATCCCTTTACTGATCTTTTCCGTCACATTGAACCACCTATTTAACACTGCAATCAGTATTCTTGTATTATCAGTTGGTAAACAGGGTCAGTTCACTTCCTTCTAGGAAACTGCATGATTGTCATACGACCATGTATTTGGAAAGAGTCCATCAAAACACATTGCTGAATAAAGGCATATGTTAGCCAGGTATGTTAGCACATAAATCAATACCAATTTTTTGCAATATAATAGTTTTTTTTCAAATATTTAGTTTTATTTCTAAAAATTGTATTTATATATTTTTTTTCACATTCTTCTCTCTCAATTTTTCATTCCCCAACATCCAAGCTTTCACTTCTATTAACAGGGTTAAATAGAAAATTCACTTAAAATTTTTATTCTGTCATTTACCCAACTTGAAAAAAATGAATAAATAAAAAAAAATAATTAAATGAAAAACTATATTTTAATAAAAAAAGTGATCAAGTGGACTGTTTTTTGGGTAAATGTACCTTATTTTGAAAGTTAAATAAAATTATATATCACACAAAGCTATGGAAAAATTAAGAGACCAGTTAAAAAAATTCATCTCTGGATTTACGATTTATGCATTTTTGAGTTACACATATTTTCGGTTGCTTTCTATAGATTACAGATGACAGATGATGTCTTTCAAGTTACAAATAAAAACGTCATTAATTCATTATAAATAAACATTAGTTATTATGTGAAATAAAAACTAAATAATTAATCATCAACAACAGCCTCCCATTTAATATTAAAAACAACACTGCAACTTGTTTTTATTTACATTTAGAATAAGGTGTTTTGACAGGTATTTGCCTCAAATTTAGGTGACACCACAAATCTGGCGTGATTAACCAGCAGTGTTCTTTCTACTGACTCTCCCATGAAACCCTTTTCCAGTCACTCTAACAAGAATACAGGGACAAAAAAATGGAGCACAACAGAAGCCAAATAGACATAGGCTAAACACTTAAAAAACAAGAGAAAACTCGCAGGTATTGTGCAAGCATAATTGCATCTAGGTGTTACATAACTCAGCTGACCAGACGCAGAGCTCGTGCGTGTGACTCTTCAGCGCGTACAGATCAAATAACACTACGGCCTGCGAGTGATAGCACAATAAAATGCTGATCATAAACTTGCACGAGCCTCTGCTCTTTATCATAGAAATAAACAGCTGGATGCAGCGGAGAGCTCGTCACTGTCATTTAAACGCTCAGACTGGCACGCGCTTTTTTACAGACTGGCGCGTGCAGGTGTGCAGAGCGCGTGACTGTGTCTCCATAGGTATAGTAACATGCGCGTGCTAACGGTCCTACTTACCGCTGCTCCGCTCCCGTCGAGCAGTCCCGGGCGCTGCCGTTACCGTTACCGACTGCTCTCTTGCTGAAGAGCTTTTGCAGCAACGTCGGCATGCTGTTGCTTTGCTTTTCATCAACACAAAATCTGGGCTTCGCGTTTCCCCATTGGGACGAGCGTTCAGACGCAGGTTTCTAGTAAAGATCCATGCTGAAGTCATGTGACATTCGCACCAGCTGAGCGACGACGCAAACAGAAACAGAAGTCCGCGGGCGCGCTCTGCTGACGGGGACGCGCACTCACACACTGCCGTTGCAACTTGGCACGTGCAGAACGTGCGCACACTCTGCAGAGATTTTCTGGTCGTTGCTGTTTAGTCATTTGGTATTTAACGTATTAATATTAAAATGCTTGGCTTTATGTAAACTAAATTAAGGCATTTATATATTAAGTAAATAGTTATGTATTATTAAATCATTTCTACATCGTGATAGTATTCTCTCTGAATATAAATACAATAATACAGTAAAGTTAAATAAAAAGCAAAACGAGAAATAATAATAATAATAATAATAATAATAATAATAATAATAATTCATGTAAAACATAAAAATTATAAAGAGTAAAGTAATTAATATTAGGTAGATTAAAAGCTTTATTTTTGACAAGTTCTTTGATTACTGATGCAAAATTACATTTGAAAAGCAATATAAAGTTTGTATCAAAACTAAATGATAACCGTTCTGCAGTTGGACAATTTTGTAAATAAGTATTATAATTGTTTAATTTATTATTTTAAATTTATATTAATATATATTATTTAGTTTATAAGAGTAATAAGATTAATGCCTAAAACCTGAATGTACAAAGTAAATATACAATGGATAAAAAGTCAAACCGTGCCATAATGTTTAAACTACCATAAAACATTAAAGTTATACAAATAAACGTTATGGTCATAAATATGAACGAAAGGTTGATAAAGTAATTTTGCAAAAAAGAAAAAAGAAAACAGCAGTAAGAACAATTTCATATATATATTATTTACAGTTTTTCTGAGATTTTTTATCTTGTGTATAAAGAATTTAGATTTATAAGGGACCTACTAGGCTTGTGGTAAATGTGTAAGACACGGAACAAAAATACCGTTGAACCGGTCCGTCCTTTAAACCTTCCCCCCATACGTCACACGTGTAAACGATAGACGTTTACTTAAATTAACAAATATGGTAAGTTTTAAACTCATTTTCGACTACATAATCAGAATATACATTTAAATGTCGCGTTTACTAATTGGCGTTCTTATTTCAGCCTAAAGGGAGAAAACCAAAGGGGCCGGTGGAGAAAAAGGTTATTCACCCATACAGCAGGAAAGCCGCCTATCTGGCCAGAGATGCCATCAAACAAGAGAGGAAAGAAAAGTAAGAGCCTTTTCCAATTCACGATTTATTTTTTTGTCCCTAAAAAGCAAATGAATTTATACCGAGTACTGTTATTTTTGTTAATGTAGCATTTGTATAATCACCTCTAGGTTAAAATGTGAAAAGGCCCAGCGTTTAAATTTAGTTGGTGAGTAGTTCATTATTTATTATTCTGTATTGTATTTGTGGAAGCAATGAATGTGAAAGTTTTTGTCATTCTGTTAGCTTTGGTATTTTCCCAAAGCTAATGGAAACGTGTTTTGCTAACATTCAATTAAAGGGCTAGGTCACCCAAAAATGAAAATTGTCTCACCATTTACTTGCTCTCATGTGGTTCCAAATTTTTAAGGACTTGTTTCTTCTGTTGAATACAAAACAAAATATTCTAAACATTCAGTTCGTTAGTGTTGTTGAGTTTGTTATGTAAACGTTAGAAAAGATATTAAGTTTGATTATTTTTGAACATTCTCAGAATCATTCCAGACAATTAATTATTGACGTTTTAAAACATGTTTTAACATGCCTAACTTTCCAATAATACATTTCAGGAAAAAAAATGTCTAAAAGATGCTTAAATAATATTTTTGTCTTACCAGATAGGTTATAAAAGACAGCTTTGAACTAATATGCAATTATCATTACTGGAGGAACATTTGGTTGTGTCTTGGAGAAAACATTGGCAGAACATTAGCATAAGAACATAAGTTCATCTAATGTATTATTTACCTGTTTGCTGATCACTCATTTTCTGCAGGTGAAAAACTGTTGTGGTTCCAAAACCAGCTGAACCCTGACAAGCCAGAATACACCAGACAAGATGCTTGTGAAATAACTGAGAGGTATGACACATCCCGAGGTTTAAATATGATAAAAAGTTGTATATTAAGAATATTTATAAATACAACTTTCTCAGGTATCTTCAGCGGTTTGATGGGGAACTGGAGCAGATCGAGCTGGCGAACAGCATCAAAGGCCGCCAGGGTCGCCAGCACAGCTCTAGAGAGGCCATCATCAAGCAAACCATAGAGCGAGAGAGAGCTCAGTATGAAGGCAATGGCTTTGGTAAATAATTTAGATGTCTTTATTTGTTCCCTTTTAATAAGAATTGCATGATAACCATGTTGAAAATGTTTGAACTAAAATGTTTCTCATAATAATTAGGACACTATTTAGAAGGAACAAAACTGTGTTTTATTATGCCACAGACCCCTAAATATAATTATATTAGATTGTAAAATGCATCATACTTCATTTCAAGTTTTAACATTTAGCTGATGATTAATAACAAAGCTTGTGTGGCATGCTGTCCTGGGAGAGAGCCCTGAGCTAATGAGATCCTCGAGTCCTGGGCTCCCTCCCGTTTGGAGGACGAGAGGCGAGTTTGAGCTCAGGTAGATCTTGATGAACTCCCCCCAGCTTATTTCTGGCTAATGACAGGTATAGGATGGCTGAGGAAAGATGTACTAATAGCTTGGCTATGGTATCAATTTGGTATTTTCAGTTTACTTTGGGTTGCGTGTCTTTTGGACTGTGAGAGGAAACTGGAGAACCTGGAGAAAACAACTAAACTTAACTGGTTAACTAGTTTAGAAGAGACTTTAAAGCTGCGGTCACACTGGGCTTTTCCTCCCATAGACTTTCATTCATACGCACGCTAATGCATCAGGCCGGAAACTCGGTATCATGTGCTAAGTTTCACAGGTTGTATCATGTGCTAAGTTTCACAGGTTGCTTCGGTGCAAAGTTCAAGCTTGGTGATTTCTGACCTGCGAAATCGCATCACTTGACTGCGTGAGAACAATCGAGGATCAAAACATGACCACTCTGGACAGTAATTTAAAACATGGAGCAATCGCTCACTTTTTTAATGCCTAATAATTTTGTTTATTCCTGCCCCTTTTCGCAGCGCCGCACGACACAATTTCGCATAATCAGACTCCAGTGTGACCGCAGCTTAACCAGAGACATTCTTGCTGTGAGGCAACAGTGCTAATCACTGTCACCCATCTGGAAAGGAGGGGGAGCAGGGGTGGGTTCTTCAAGACAAAGATATTCAAATAGGAAATCTAGTTATTTATAGTGAGTTTAAAAATCATGTAATTGGAGAATCAATCATGAGCTGATGTGAGACCAGCTGAGAACAATCATAAGCAGGTGATCCTCTTGAAATTAGTTTATAAATAGACCTCACTCATGCTGTAAAAAATGAATACTGTTTAAAAAATGTTTAGTTTCTAAATTTCGATAATATACATTACTACACTTTGCCTCTACTCATGTTAATTTATTCATTAACACGGATTTTATATTTTATTACACAATTTAATTATTTTATTTAGTTTAATCAGTTTTTAAAGGTTCATTTTAATCATTTGTTTGTTGTTTGGAAGTTTTAGATTTTTGTTTTTGCAATTCATCTTGATCATTTTTATTGGTTATTTTATTTTTATTTTATATTTATATATTTATTAATATTTAATGAAATGATTTTATTAATTACTATTAATTGTTATTATTTTAATCAGCTTTATTTATGTGTTTCGTTTACATTCATTTTTTTTAAAGCTTCCTCACAGACTCTCCTGTGACCCCCTGTGGGTCAGGTTTAGAAAAACTGCACTAAATAGTAAAAAAGTTTTGTTTTTTTTACTCTTTTTCACTTTACAGAAATTCCTGACATCATCAATGCTAAGCATCTGAAGATATTCAGGTAGTTGCTACATCGTTTATTTTGTTAAAATCATTCTTTTTGTTAATAACATCTTGCACAGAGTACTGAAAAGTCAGCATGTGTTTGACAGAGAATGGAACGGTGACCTTAAGAAACTGCCCTGCATTAAGATGAGAAAGCTTTCAGCCAAAGGCTCCGACAGCAAACCGTCTACAGTTTCACAAGATACACACATGGAGGAAGAGAACGAGGAAGATAAATCTCTGGACTCTGATTCTGACCTGTGAGATCTACTGCAGTACACAGTAGAGGAATAGACTTCATGCTGAGTGTAAGGACAGAAAGAGCCAGACATTGCTCGATGTTTTATACTACTGGTGTTTTTTTTTTAACCAGACTCTTGCAGAAACATTTTGTCGTGAGGAGAAAACTTAGTCCTTCAAGTACCACAGGGCTATCAACACACAAATAAACAGAGACTTTGAAATGGGTTAATACTGAACATTCATGGAGTTTATTGCACTGGCTGATTTTTGCAAGTTTTTTATATTGTGCATCTGAGTTGTGAAAACTGACATTGATCGAATCTCACTTAATTATGACACATTTTTAAAACTGGATTTAATATGTCAAATCATCATTGCAGAAAATCACATAATACAAAAAATGTAAAATCAGCTGAATTCTTTCCGAATATCGCATAGTAAAACATGATCCTCTTCAAACCTTAATATTAAAAGATCTCTTTCATGTCAATAAATAAACAAACAATGTTCTCATTCAAACCCTTCAACACATAGCTTCTCAATTACTGCATATTTAAAAAATCAAAATTACATTAAAATTAATAATAGTGCTAAATTCTTTAATTTTACTTTTACTGAGGAAAAACAAAGCCTGGTTACCATAGTTATCAATTTGTTTAGCTATTTTTAGATGAAATCTTTTTTTGTTTGTTTTACTTTTTATTTTTTGACATTGAAATATATTTTTATTTATCAGTGTCCTTTTTATACACTAAGAATTTATATGCAAAAGCCTCTAAGCGCCAATCTGAAATCTTATAAAAAATGT